GTCAATATTATTTAACGTGTCATCTTTCTGTTGGTCAATATTTATAGTAATCCTAACTGTATAAATATGCATTTGTTTGTAAATCATTATTCTGCTGCTCCTGACCCCATAAGCGATTTTTCATCTACGGTTCGTGTTCTGATATATTGGAGATTGGGAACAGTATTGGGGTCGAACTGGGATATCTGAAGCTTTGTCAATTGGTAGAATTTAGAGTAGCCAACTCGCGATTCACAATAAATTTGGCGACGGAGATTTAGCAACAAGTTGGTGATTAACTATGGATCCAGCCAAATTAGAGAAATTGTTCGAACAGCAGCTGAAGCTGATGGAGATGCTTACTCAGACGCACATATCTTCTCGAGTCCCAACTGCACCGACAATTCCTGAATCAGTTGATGGTATTACCAGTGGTATTTCAGAATTTCTTTATGATCCTGATGCCAACATTACATTTGATACCTGGTTCAGACGTTATGAAGACCTTTTCAAAGTTGACTTTGTTGACAGAGATGATTCGTGGAAGGTGCGTCTTCTTCTCCGTAAACTTGGTCCATCCGAGCTGGATAAGTATTGCAACTTCATTCTACCACAGAACCCACGCGACCGTTCATTCGACGCCACTATTCAGTCCCTTAGCCAACTTTTTGGTGATCATCACTCACTCTTCAGTACCCGATATCGCTGCTTAAAACTGGTCATGAATGAGTCTGATGACTTCCTGACTCACGTCGGCGTTGTTAACCGTGAGTGCGAACGGTTCAAGCTCAGATCCCTCACTGAAGACCAATTCAAGTCCCTAGTACTCATATGCAGTCTTCAGTCACCCAAATTCTCCGACATCAGAACTCGGTTGCTCAACCGCCTTGAACAAGATCCAACACTGACACTTAATGCGATCATAGACGAATACCAGCGTATCATCAATCTGCAGCGTGACACCACTTTGGTCCAATCTGGGGGCCAGGGTGGTTCCGAAGTTCATGCTGTTCAGCACCAAAAAAAATCTTCGAGATCGACAAACTCGAGTCCTTCGAACGCCAGCGCTGTTTCTATCTCTAATCACTCTAAACCGGCTCAGAAGAAGCCGCCCTCGCCATGTTGGCACTGTGGAGCCTGGCATTATGTGAAGTTCTGTCCATTCAAACAGCATGTGTGCGATCGCTGTCAGAAAGTTGGTCACAAAAGCGGCTTTTGCAAATCCAACCGATTCAATAACCGTCGAAATGCACAGACGCAGCGTCGTTTTCACAAAAAGCCGATTACCTCATCAAGGAGTTTAGCAGCAGTCTTCCATACCCATGCCGCGACTCGACGCAAATTTCTGACCCTCTCAATCAATGGTCAGCCTGTTCGTTTGCAGTTGGACACTGCATCAGATATCACCATTTTGTCGAAAAAGACTTGGCGAACCTTGGGTCAACCTCCCATCAAACCATCCTCTCAAACAGCCGTCAGTGCTTGTGGGGGTCATCTCCGCCTTCATGGTAAACTCTGTTGCTGTATTTCATTCAGAGGTACAACCTTCAATGGGACATGTTACATCACCGATTCTCCGCTCAACCTTTTAGGTTTAGATTGGTTCGAAGAACTTGGTCTCGCTGATCTTCCTATTAGCGCTGTCTGCAATCAAGTCCAAACTACTGCTTCTACACAACAGCATACTGAAGACCTTCGAAAACGATTTATTGAATTATTTAAGCCTGGTCTCGGACTTTGTTCCACAACTGAAGCTGTTTTAAAACTGCAGCCAGGAGCTACGCCAGTTTTTCGCCCAAAGCGTCCAGTCCCATACGCATCTTTACCTCTGGTTGACGCTGAACTTCAACGTTTGGAAACTGAAGGTGTCCTAGTACCTGTTTCTTATTCATCATGGGCTGCACCAATTGTGGTTGTAAAAAAATCCAATGGTTCCATACGCATCTGTGCAGACTTTTCTACAGGACTCAATGCGGCTCTACAACAGCATCACTATCCGCTGCCGATCCCAGATGACTTATTTACTATTTTAAATGGTGGTACCTATTTTGCTAAGCTGGATCTGGCAGATGCTTACCTTCAAATTCCAGTCGCTCTAGAATCCAGAGAGTTGTTGACAATCAACACTCACCGAGGACTTTTTCAGTATACCCGATTACCCTTCGGTATCAAAACTGCTCCAGCGATCTTCCAGCAGATCATGGACACTATTCTGGCAGATGTTCCTGGTGTTGCTACATACCTTGACGATGTGCTCATTGTCGGCTCAACTGTTGATGAATTGCATACCAGAACCCACTTAGTTCTGCAACGCCTCCAGGATAATGGTTTTCGCCTTCGCCCAGAAAAATGCCAATTCTTCTTACGTTTCGTTAAGTACCTGGGGTTTATCTTTGATGCTTCCGGACGACACCCTGATCCTCAAAATACTTACGCAATCCAACAAATGCCTGCTCCCACTGATGTCTCCTCACTGCGATCATTTTTGGGGATGATTAGCTACTATTCAGCATTTCTTCCATCACTGCATGACGTACGATATCCATTAAATCGTCTGCTAGAAAAGAATGCTACTTGGAATTGGTCAACGCAATGTGAGTCAGCCTTTTCAAAACTTAAAGCTATGTTAAGTTCCAATCTTCTGCTAACCCACTACAATCCGAAACTACCCATTGTGGTTGCTGCTGACGCTTCAACACATGGACTGGGTGCCGTAATCTCACATGTCTTTCCCGACGGGTCAGAGAAAGCGGTGATGCACGCTTCGAGAACACTAACACCTGCTGAGAAACGCTACGGCCAGATAGAGAAGGAAGCGTTAGCCCTAATTTTTGCTGTCCGGCGATTCCACAAATTCATTTATGGGCGCCGTTTCACCTTGCTCACAGACCACAAGCCGTTGTTATCAATCTTTGGATCAAAGAAAGGCATTCCTACCCATTCTGCTAATCGTCTTCAACGTTGGGCGTTGGCGTTATTGGGGTACGACTTCGACATCCAGTATCGACGTTCCGAAGATTTTGGTCAAGCGGATGCACTGTCCAGACTTATCAGTAACCATTCTACCACTGATGAGGACACACTCATAGCCATAGTATCAACCGAAGAGGATTCCGGTGCTACACTATTGGCGAATGCCGTTCGAGCAATGCCTGTTACCGCTGAAGATGTTCGGGAAGCTACCAGAGAAGACCCGATTATCCAAGAAGCGATCACCTATGTTCAGAGCAGATGGCCAGTTAAACAGCTGAGTGGTGATATGCAACAATTAGCGAATCGTCGCAGCGCTCTCTGTATTGTTAACGATTGTTTGATGTTTGGTGATCGCGTAGTAATTCCAACAACCCTACGTTCCAAGGTCCTACGCCAATTCCACTCTGGACACCCAGGGATAAACCGTATGAAATCCATCGCTCGAAGCTATGCATATTGGCCAAATATGGACAAGCAGATTGTCGACTTCGTCAAAAGATGTTCACATTGCCAAAAAGCTGCGAAAAATTCTCCTAAGTTGCCTCCAGTACCCTGGCCAAAGTCAGAAAAACCCTGGTCGCGAGTGCATATTGACTTCACCGGACCCCTAGATGGTACCACATATCTGATACTGGTTGACTCATACTCCAAATGGCCGGAGATATTGCCGATTGCCCCACCCTCTACAACTCGAACCATCAAACTCCTTAATCAGATCTTCGCTCAGCATGGTCTTCCAGAAACAATAGTAACAGACAATGGTTCGCAATTCACATCTAGCCAATTCCGAGAATTTTGCCTGCAAAATTCGATCAACCACGTTCGTTCTCCGCCATATCACCCGCAATCTAATGGACAAGCTGAAAGGTTCGTTGATACATTTAAACGAGCCATGCTTAAAGCACGAGGGGAGGGGACCACAGAAGATATCATAGAACGATTTCTAGTTGCGTACCGGACGACCCCGCATGACTTATTGCCAAACTCCAAATCCCCTGCTGAGATGCTTATGGGGCGAAAGCTACGGACAGTTCATGGTGCGATGAAACCCAAGCAAGTGGCCCAGCAAAGCCCCCAGATGAAGAATACTCGAATTCCCTACGAAGTTGGTACAAAAGTGTATGCGCGAGATTATAGACATGGATGTGATAAATGGGTAGAGGGTGAAATCACACAAAAACATGGGAACGTCATGTATGATGTCAAGGTGAACCAAGAAATCTGGACCAGGCACCACAATCAACTCAGGTCAAGGGAAGCGAAGGAGAAAGAAGCAATTACAAAACACGTCCCACTCGACTTGCTGTTGGACACGTTTCAACTTCCGCCAATACCTCCAACAGAGACGACTAAGTCACCTACTCAAGTAGAACATCCTTCTGGTTCTGTGTGGTTGCCTCGGAGGTCGGATCGCAAAAGAAGACATCCAAAGAAACTTCAAGTAAACCCTCGGTTACGTCGCTATTAACTTTTCCAAAGGGGAGGTGTTGGGATACTCAGAAAAATATCCCAGAAACAATTATCCGGTTAAGTCTAACGCTACCCTTGAACGTTAAATGGTGTCATTTCCCTATTGGTCGTTTCCCTACTGATCAATATTTATTTCGCGTGTCATTTTCCTATTGGTCAATATTATTTAACGTGTCATCTTTCTGTTGGTCAATATTTATAGTAATCCTAACTGTATAAATATGCATTTGTTTGTAAATCATTATTCTGCTGCTCCTGACCCCATAAGCGATTTTTCATCTACGGTTCGTGTTCTGATATATTGGAGATTGGGAACAGTATTGGGGTCGAACTGGGATATCTGAAGCTTTGTCAATTGGTAGAATTTAGAGTACCCAACTCGCGATTTACAATAAATTCTTAACTTTATTTGGATACACAAGTTTCCTTGTATCTGATAAATTTGTCTCATAAATTATTTGACTGAAGTCATGTTTGTAATCCAATTTATCATCAAGTTGATTATATTCCTTTAAACCTTTGAATTAAAGGATTAATACTGTTTAATTATGTTATCATGTTCTCACTATTTAATATAGAAGGATAAGTCAGGTAAACATTCAGTTTCCAATATTCCTTCTGGATCTAGTAGTGCCTTTGAGCCACCAAGTTGTGCTTATAGTGGTGGATTATTCAATTTAGTTGATACTTCCTTATCAGTTGCACCAGCTCATTTACCGGATCCATGGTCTGCTCCTTTAGCAGTTCCGAGCAGTTCGTTAAATAATAATACATCATCACCTTCTCCATCCACATCATTTAATAATACCAATATACCACAGTCAACTTTTCCACTTATCCCTATTGATGATCCTTGGAGTCCGAAAAGTAACTGATTTTTACTGTGTACTTTTATTTAAAATTTCTTGTTTGATTAAATGACATATATAACTCGTTCCATATACATACAAATTATTTGATAGTGTCATGATTTAATAATCGAAACACTCAACTCCCAACTATTTAGTTTACAGGCTGGAAACTTCCACCACCACCACTTAATATTAATAAACATCATATATTTGATGTTTCTTAAGGCTGACTAAATGAATTTATACCTGATTGCCGAGTGATGTAATGAAAAAATTAGGATTCATACTTGTGATCCTACCTCTTTATTACCGGGTACGAGATAATACGGCCAGCAGTATCAATAGTTGCTGATGCTAGATAATTAAACCCAATACTAGACTTGGCACTCTATCAACATACTAGGTAACAGATTGCTAGAAAAATCACGGTATGCACACAGTTACACAATATCCGGCTTACGATTAAAAGTCAGATTGCGTTAGACAATAGTTCATTGACGTAAATTACAGAGAAGTCAATATAGTTAAATCCAAGTAGAAATAAACCATTCTAATATTCATATCAAAGTAATCTGTATATTTGTTATAGCTCCGATGTGTACCTCTGTTTACTGACCAATCACGGCTCAGCTTCACCTGACGTATCAGTGGGTTGCATATCTTAGTATTTGGATTTGCCTTCGTTGATTGACTAAGCTTTAGGTATAGAAACAAAGAAATAAAGTTGAAAAGTAAAACTATGGGTTATGATTGTTATTTGAACTAATGATCTTCGGTTAACGGACCTCATGTACTGTCGACTAGCTGATGTACAAGATTGAACTTTCAGTCAGACAAAATATGCCTTGTTATAAGTTTTTTATCCGCTAGTATTGTGTTTTTAACAGTAGTATTTTATTATTTGATAAACAAGATTGACTTACAATTGTTTACATTCATCCGAAAATACATCTTATTGGCAGAAAATTGCTTTTTTATGATCTCTTGGAATGCAGCCTAATCATGTTTAATTTCTCTACTATACCAGCGCAAAATGTACACAATTTTTCATCCAAATAGCATAGCAATTTAACCAAAAGAGGTAACTAACAGGAGTTACTGTACTGATCGTTTCATATAAACGACTGTACTGAGTACAAAAGGAAATAGTGTTTTATTAACCGTTATCCAGATGTTTGTCATTTTGTCGACTACTTGTACAATTAGTGATCAGTTTGACAAACCTCTAAACGGAGTCCTATTTTATCGGGTTTTAAACATAGATTCGTGTACTAGATAATGAATTATGCCGTCTTATTGGAATTTTCTTGGGCGGAGAGTATCAAAAATATTTCGAACATTCTACCAATGTTCGTAAACCTCAACCATTAAAAAAGTTGTTTGTAAAAGTTATGACTACATATATTATGATCGGACTATGTCGTACAGCTCTTTTTTCGTGTTTATGTATTTTACTTAGTTGTGTCATAATTCAGTCGCTATAGTTTTATAATTTTTTTAACTGGCTTGTTAGGGGACTGAATTTGGTATATCCTGAAAGTATTGCTTAGGCTTGGTAATATTACTAGGTGGGTAATAAGGAAGCTAAACGTAGGATACTGGGTAAGGCAGATAGTTCCTTGAGTTCTCAAACATTTATCAACTACAAGTGTTTGGGGCATATTTACCACATCTCCCTGCTTTAGTTAGTGCAGACGTCTTCTTTGGGAGGCGTACGACAATCGTACTCAATTGTTGGAAACCTTAGATGACGTTGCTTGAAGTGCAGTAGCAACAATGAAGATACTTTCATTTCTTATTTCTTCGGTTTTTCACCATCGTTGATATGATTGTTCTTTGACTTCCTTGATTTCCAACTTGTTAATTTTCTCTTTGACTGTATTAATATGGGTTGTGGCCACTTAGCTCGGCGCACAGTTATATCAGGTCTTGCATATATTATAACCAATTGACGGCACTATATAAGAATAATAACTTCGAAATAACTGTGAACTATATTTTATAAGTACTTATCGAAAAATATATTTGTAAGGGTTTAATATTATCCAGCTCTTGATACTCAAAAATTTATTTGATCAGTCTTTTGGTCATATGTGCACCATGACCGGATGCTTCAATATTGCTTACTGGTAAGACGTTTTCGTGTCGTTTTAGCTAATATTGAAGTCTAAGATGTACCTTTGGTCCAATTTTAAACTCTTCAGTTATACGCTAGGTAAGGTCCAAGAAAATACCGAAAACACAGATTTGCAGCCCCTTATATTTACAATGGCTTGACCTAGCTCCTACATTGATGCGGTGGTGGGGCTTGCCTATCGTGATGACCCGACCGAGCTATATTGGCTGGAACATATGTTCCTGTAGGTTCTACCATGCCAGGCAGGTCGATTGGAGAACGGTAAGACTAAAGGCAGCAACTCAAGGTCTGAGGGCGAAGTCGTACTGCTGACTGTAGAGAGGTGTGACAACAGTAAGGTGTTTCCCTCGGACAACCAGCATCTACAGCGATGCTGCCTTCTCACAAGGAAGGAAGGGGTTAGAAAAGATCGACCCTAAAAATGTCATACCTCACGGATTTCCGTCTCCGGCGTTAAGGCCCTGTGGATAACGGAGCTAACACATTAAAAACCTCCCACAAAAAGGCCGTGCGCGACCATCCTCAAGCAGTTGTCCCTTGGGCTCTGTGGTCACGGATATCATTTGTAGCTCGATTGGATGCTTTTGGTAAAGTTTTCTGATCTCCAAGTAACCACTGATGGTGATTTTGTCCTGAACGACAACGAGAGGTTCATAATTAAGCCATCTACATAAGAACACCCGACATTACTATAAAATTGTATCTTCGATTACCGATGTATTTAAGCAAGAAATTGTTTGAAATCTTCCAATTTTTGGACGCACTTTAAATATACTTTATTTATGGGACTTTTTGTAATGATGTAAATCGTTAGGAATTCTAACAGATAGATTATTTTTTTTAGCTAGGTATCATATTTATATCACCGAATACTCAGCTCTTGTTTCACTTTTCAAATAAATGTTAGTATCGTTCAGAAAAACGTTACTATTTTGCAAAATATCATATTATGTTAATTAATATTGTGTTGAAACCAACAGTTCGGTGGTTAAAGGTTTCAAAGTTTTAGATCCTTGAAGTATACTTCAAGTTGTTTAATTTGTTTGGGCCGGATAGTATCCCTGACCGTTGCACGAATAATGTGGTTTAAAGTCAACTAAATAAAAACCTGTATTTTGTAAATGAGTTGCAATATTTTTAAACTATCTATATTTTCAATAGATCAACCAAATATTCCAACACATTCTACAACAAGTAATTCCGATGAAATGTGGAATTTGGAATCAACCTTAGGTGCTACATTACCGTCCACTTCTAATACAAACACCGAGTCAGTTATTTCTAACCATCATCATCATACCAACAGTGGTAGCAATCTCAATAATAACAATGGGCATTTTGATTTTGATTTGAATGGAACTTCAAATAATATGAATGATCAATTTCCGCAGCAGTCCACTTTTCAAAATGCACAAACATCTTTAACTATAGAACAACAACAACATCAAGAACAACAGACTGTACGTAAACGAACTCCTGCTGACTTTTTAGGTGAACATCAGAAATTAGTTGACTTGGAAAAGCTGATTGAAAAAAATCCAGGTAATTCCTTGCAAAATTGTTTTATTGTTTACAATCTATTCACATGTTTGATTTCTCAAATTTTACTGGTTTAGTGGTAGTTAATACTCTTACTCTATCAATTTATTTATGGTATGGATATCAGTCTCGATTTAAATAGCTCGGTGATGGTAATCTTTTGTAATTGTGACATCGGGTAACAAAGGTTAGAATTCCATACGGTGCATGAGCTCCCCTGACACTTTAGATACATCTTGTTGACAAGTGGCAACTTTCATGGACTCCTAAACATACTACAACTCACCAAGTACAGTCTTATGTAGTAGACTTTGACCCATATACTGTTTGTATGAGGACTATTCGGTTGCCCGAAGCAAAGCAGGTTGAGTGCGGTACGAACCTCTGAGGTGCTAGTTAAGTCTAGTAACTTAACCATCAAACTACTTGTCTTTAGTCAACTTTAAAAGTAAACTATCGACAATTCTCATCTAAACTGAAATTAAGGCAGACTTCTGGTTCTTTTTTGATTCACACATCCCAGATGATGTTCTTGATTAGACGACAGTTCCTAAAAATTATGTTTTTAACTGTACGAAAAATCCTGTGCAAATGAGAACTACGAACCTATGAAATCATGATAATTGATTACTACATTAATCTGACCTCTCAGAAAAGTGTAGGTAATTATTATATCTGACGAAGATTAAATGAATAGTAAGTGCCTGGATTAATTTACGGATTATTATTGTATATACCCTTATTGTATAATTATAAAGTAACTAGATTATATATTTATATATTCCTTTTATCATGGGATTTCCCTTGACCGATTAGTTACTTTTATGTTATTTACTACTCTTAATCTGCTGCCAGCTTATTATTCTCAGTCCCCCCTACTCATAGTCACTCTTCGGCTCGATCACATATAATTGTTGTTTCCCATTTTATGATGTGGTGTGGTCGAATATGTTTGTATATAAAATACGCATGCTTGAAACAATATTTGTGTGGTGGAGGATGGTTAATTTGTTCTGGACTCAACGGGCAGAGCAGGAAGAGAAGCTACCGTATCGGTGACCAATATGGACTTGGCAGTGAATCAAAGCTACGAGTCTTGGTTGGCTTAGAAGCCAAGTGATAGAAATCAAGATTCTGAATTGTTTTTTGTCACATGATATTAGTGGTGCCTATAAATCATAACAGTAATGAAAGTGAGGTAGAAATCGGTTATAAAACATTATCTTTTCATTCTTATACTGATCTCTCAGTAAGGCCTCATAATTGTAACACTCATTCAATAAACGGCACTTCACTCACAATTAGCGTCTTTGCACGGTCGGCATTTGTAGTGTTTATTACATTTTGAACCATCATGTAGATCAAGTCTCTGGTGCGCCTATCAGTCTTTAGACTGTCAACATACCGAAGTAGCGGTAAACCAAAATACTTCCCACAGTTTAACAGAACCTTTAAGTATTTATTTCAGTTCATGCAAACGGCTGTGAATACAAATCTTATATTCTTTATTATGGATGCTTTAAAAATGTTGTATGGAAAAGTCAGCAATTAATAGGCTTTGATCTTCAAATAATTCAACAAACAGATGATTACTCACTTTATTATGGATATATCAAAATAGTCGATCGATATAAGTACAAAACAGTCAAAGTAAATTATTAGAAAGCCTTAAACCTAGGTTTCCTAGCTAACTGATATTCATCAGCTATTTGAGCGTTGTATTACATAACTCATCATTCAAATGGGCTACTAGGATCATGCTGACCTTTTCTCAACCGGGATGATTACAGTTATCGGTCATGGTGTGATTACAAATATTATTTAGTTTGCGGTACTGACTAAAATTTCTCAGTCATGTTACAAGTCTCATCAGCCCTTGTGGTCTGGTGTGTGACGAAATCTCAGCACGGATACAGAAGGCTCGACTAGCTTATGCCAACTTGCGTCATTTATGGCGTAGGCGAAATATCCGTCTATCAACCAAAGGACGTGTTTACTGTGCAGCAGTTCGTCCCGTCCTACTTTATGGCAGTGAAACGGCCGGTAAGAGTAGAGGATATTCGTAGGTTACTAGTATTCGATCATAGGTGTCTTCGAAACATTGCTCGTAATGGGCAGTTGATTGGAGGTCTATATCTTACACAAGTGTAAAACATTGCTCGTTTATCATGGGACCATCGCGTAAGTAACACAGTTGTTAGGAAACGGGTACTAGGTAAGGATGGCAAACCAATTGATGAAGTAGTGAAACTTCATCAGTTGAGATGGCTGGGACACGTGTTACGTATGCCCAACGACCGACTGCCTCGACGAGCGATGTTCAATAGTATAGGAGTCGGTTGGAAGAAAGCTAGGGGTGGCCAGACCAAAACATGGCACAAATCCATGAAGTCACTGACAAGTGGACTGAGCCATGTTGGTAGGTGTAGACTACCTGGTTGGGGACCACGAGATGATAGCAACCGATGGTTAGAGACCCTGAATAACATGGCTCAAAATCGTTTGGAATGGCGCAGGTGCATCCATTCTTTATGTTCTACCAAATTCTAATCTTCTGAATTCTTCATGTCCCTTTATTTTTTCTCTTTTCAAATTTATTTCACTGGATTATACTCTTTGAATAACATCTTCAAACCCTAATCTTTCCGATTACTGCTTATACTCTTACTACCTCTACCACTACGGGATTAGAATCGATAACTGCATCTCTGTACTAATGTGGTATGGCAACTTGAACTGATGTATGTACGTACGAAGTTCTACGTTATTACTGACTACCAACCGCTTACTGTCTAACAAAGTGCACTATCATGTCAAATCGTTCAGTTTTAAGTTTTGTTACAAACTTCTGTTGCATAGAATTCACTCAACAATGAGAACTAGAGACCAAAGCATTAATTACTACCCAGTAACCAGGTAGTTTATGCATAAACTATCAATTTTATGCATCATTACCAAGATAGCTTAATATTTAACCAGTTAGAAAATTCCCGTAGTTCTTTCAAACAAGCATAATTATTGAAGGTTTAGTCAGTTGAATATGGTATCCACGTAAAACTATTGTTTATTATTGAAATGACAATTTGACTGCCAGATAATTATCGCCCCAATTCCTTTTGTTGAATAAACATATGTTTAAGTGACTATGTCAAATGCTCCAAGTATGTATTTTTCTTTTTGAAGTCCCACATGAAATCATACATGTTATTTGATTATTCTGAAATAACTTCATTATATGAGAATTATTGCAGACGATTATTTTATTTTACTTGGTTTTAAGTTTACAATTATTTCCACTATGTGATGAACATTTTGAATATTTACTTATCCGTGTCACTAACAGTTTGCACGTTCTTTGATTGTTTTAAATTGATTAATTCATTCTTTCTAATAATGTTACTATAAAATCATTTAATGATTTTTGTCATATGATACTACTGTTTTCTATCTTAGAGCAAAGTCTACTTGTCTGATTGAAAAAATAAAACAGATGATAAATAATTTGTGTTTGATTATGCTTAGATAGTTAGCTTTTTTCTCTTTATTTAGCTTAAATAATTCTCAAATAACCGTTACTACTATTATTTATTATGCTGCTTTTAAGTAGTATATACTTTACATATTCACTTACAGTCTTCTATCTCATATTATATGAATTGATCCGAAGTAAATTTATATATATATATATATATATATATATATATATATATATATTCATACAAAGGGACACCAAAATATATATTCTCCACACAATAAAAATGAGATTATGAAGAGATAGAAAGGAGAGTGTATATAATAAAAACAACAAAAAGGAATAAAAATTAGTGTATGGGAGTGAGATGATAATAGTAATGAGAGCAGCAGTTTAGTCTAAAAAAATACAACCAGAAAACATTCTTTCAGTTAAAGAAGTCTTTCTAACTTATATGAATAAATTAAAAGAAAGTTACAGAAGGATCGCCACTGGCTTCTTTTCTGAGCCATGTCTGATAAAATCTCTAGTCACTATGTTGCACTACCTGTAGGACTTCAAATAAGGGGTCATGAAGAATCAACAGATGCCAGTCATATACAGATTCCTTTCATATTACGACACCATGCCATGCACTGACCTCCTCTCCACTTTTTTTAACCCGTCTCAGCACCAACTAATCATTGATGTGGAATTCGCTCGGACGAAACTCACAGTACATGTTTAAGCCACCAAATTCGGTGTTTCAAGATGGCGACACTGATTGAATTATCGTCAATGCGCACGAACATACGCATGAATAAAGTAAACAAAGGTAATAATAGAAACAGTGGATCATACCAGTCTAGATTATTAATTAATATTAACAGAACAGGTTCAATTTAAGAACAAAATATTTCAGAGCACGTCGAATTAGTTTAAATATTTGTATGGCTAAAAGCCCAGTGAACATCTGTATTTGCCTCTGTGCACTTTCGTGCGAAACTCCAAAGCTGATTTGATATGGAACCTACGATCTATCTCAACTGAATGCTTCGCAAGCTGTTTGCTTATCATGTCCTCTTATTGGATCCTTGAAATTCACTCGTTTTTTGTAGTTCGAACTGTTGATTGAATGCTGATTAAGTGTATCGATACAACAAGTTGTGGTACTGTTATATCTCGACGAGAATTATGAATGATAACTTCTGAGAACTATTTATGGACTAATATTATACGTATATTCTTATCATATAACCATTCAGTAACTAGACTATGTATGTCTATACACCTGTGGCGAAGGCGAGATATCTGTCTGTCAATTAAGGGACGAGTACACTGCGCGGAAGTTCGTTCTGTTTTAATTTACGGCTGCAAAACGTGGCCATTAAGAGAAGATACTCGTAAGCGACTAGTATTTGACCACAGATGCCTCAGAAATATTGCTGGCGTCTGCTGGGATCACCGGGTAAGTAATAGTGAGGTTAGACGCAGGGTATTAGGGAATGATGGTAAATCAGTTGATGAGGTTGTGAATCTTCATCGCCTGAGATGGTTGGTTCATGTGTTACGTATGCCTGAACACCGATTACCACGACGTGCAATGCTAACGGGTGTTGGGGATGGTTGGAAGAAAGTTAGGGGTGGCCAAACCAAAACGTGGCATTAGTGCTTGAAGACACTAACATCTGGTCTGAGCCATGTTGGTAGATGCAGACTACTTGGTTGGAGTCCGCGTGACTATCGTAACCAATGGTTGGAGACTCTTGGTGACATGGCTGAGAATCGATCACGATGGCGTCGGTGTATACACTCTTTGTCTTCCCTTAAACTGTGAGACTAAAATCGCTTCATATCTTTCTTTCTACAAACTAATTCTTTCTTCTTGTACTATATCCTTATACGCAATCTTTCTTTTATATATTACCATCATTGGATTGACTACTTTTATTAATCCGGCGTTCATCTTGTTGTGTTAATGAGGTATGGCAACTTGGACCGATGCATATATGTGCCTGGTTCTACGTTGTAGCTGACTGACTGACTACCGTTCTTAAGTTGTGCCCAGTTTATTAATTACAGTCTCCCATATTCACAACCACTTTTGACCAGGTCTTGTACAAATGTTATTTTTGTATTTTATGCTGTGATGTGGTCTGTTTTGTTTGTATATAAACCCAAAATGTTTTAAATACACGATTCATATCGCGGACGCTGAGATTTGTGTTCTGGATTCAACAGGAAGAGCTAGGCAGGAAGAAGGACTGATAAAGACTCTAGACTAGTACGGGTTTGTGTGTCATTGGTTCGGTCGCTAAGTTGCTATTTTCTAATTGGCGGTATCATTAAGTTATTAGTAGGACACAAGGTCACAAGTTATGACAGATACAGTCGCCATAACCAATAGTCATTTCTAATACTACTCTGGGGTTTATGTCTTGACAATTTCATCTCGCTATGAAATTATTCTTTGACAAATTTAATATATATTCATGTGTCAGATTCTAATAAGTGTCTACTAGGATCATTAAAATAGTCATCATTCTTGTCTCCTTTTCTGTATTCTCAAAAGCTATGTATGTTTACTGTTTTCAAACATCAATTAGTGTATGTATGACTACAATACAGTTCTTGTAGATCAGATATATTGTATTGTTCTACATCTTGTATTTCTTTTTTTGAAAATTGTCCCTACATTTGGTTTCCTAATCAACTCCATTTACTTATAGAACCATTATTTCATTTTTATTTAATTACTGTTTGTTTCCTGTTATTGTAATGTAGATTAATATGACAGATTGAATTGATGTTTTCAACTACCCTTAGTTCATATTATCTATCCTATCGGTGGTCATTTAAATTGATAATACGATACTTATTAAAAGTATATTGCAGTAGACGTAATAATTTAATTAGTGTAAGTCCAGAAAATGCATAAAATATGTAACAGGGTCATGCAACAAATCACTTGTCAATCGAAATTGCTAGTAGGTTTCTTGAAAATGTAATGCAGAAATAACTTGTTAATAATAACATCTCTAATGTATATCTTTCACCTTGTTGTAACAAAGAGTTTTGCGTTATAAATACTATGAATACTATCACTCTCTACTAGCCACATCATGGTAACAAGGTGCGGCTTGACTCCATTAATTCAAGGGCTTTGACGTGTAGAAATCGATGTAGATTACATCGAAGTGAGCAGTGTTTTTAGTGTTCATGCTATCTTTTAACGTCCCTCTAGTATGAAAAAAAAATCGTTTTTGAACACAAATAGGGTTTCCGTATAGCCAAGCCTCCAGTAAACCTTAGTATACACCCTTGAAGGATTTTTTACAACACTACAAATGCTGACTTGATATAAACCTTATGACCAGTCTCAACCAAATGTTTCGCAATGGAGGAGGATGTCTATCCCGTGACCTTATTTGATCATTGGAATTCAGTTGTTTCTGTAGCTGTTTGGGTATGTGTTCCATCACGATCGCTCCTCCCTATGTACGTGTTTCCGCATATACATGTAAACTGATAGACAGAATGGGATGTGCCACAATCACTTACGTGCTGTTTGGGTTTTTGGCGAAACATAGACCTTGTGTTTTCAATAATTACAAGTTGAGCTGCATCAAGTGTCCTGTTGATGGCTAATTTAAGTTTCCGATTCAACATGAGACTAATTGAGTCACCTCTAAACGGTAACATAATGTAAACCCGCTTTTTGGGTGCCGGAAGTGTCATAGGTCTAATCGTACTGAAACCCATTGATTTATAAACTTCAACGAATAACCTTTATTCATTAATGTCTCAGTCAAGAGCTTCGTCTCTACTTCAGTAGTATCGCTAGTGCAAATATGATTGATTCTATTGAATAAGCCATTTATTAATCCACGTTTGTAATCAATTGGGCAGTGACTATGGAAATTAAGATGTTTCCCTGTCCATGTCGGCTTTCTATACACAGGACGTTTGACGGAACCAGTGTGTTTAGAAAAGTAAGTTGGTTATTCTTCGCATGTAGGACAAATATACTTTTGCCTTGTGTTGAGTTCTTTTAACAAGCGGTCCACATCTTCACGTTCATCGCCTATGATTATGTTATCACACTATCATTGACACAGACACATTTTTTGAATTGAGTCTTTAGTTAGATCTTCAACATATCATTATTGTTCAACAATTTCATTAGATTCGAGTGTACTTCTAATTCATACGATCCATCGGAGTCAACATCAGCCATACATTTGCTTTTATCACTAAAAATGGATTCCATTTTCTTTTTGTAATCGGACTTATTAATAATAGCAACACCAGGTTCTTTATCAGGCTTAAGTATAATACTATTGGCATTATTTCGTAATTCTTTTAATGACTTGAATTGCTGAGTAGTTAATATGCTTCTCGGCTTTGGTTCAGGAGAATGAAACTGGTGCGCTATATCCACCTGTTAAGCCCTGAACTAACTTTAATTCTCTAAGGATGAAGTGGCTAATGTACTCAGTCGATCATAGAGGTTTGCGAATACGGCACTGATAGTCGATTCTGGGATTTATTTTGTACTTCCTTACTTAGTTAGGCCACCTTGGACTCCTGGAGGAGCATATGCCACCCACCAGCATGCTACATTCAACCCTGTCCCGAGTAGTCCTTTCAAGTCGCTATTCATTCTTCTTGTGTCTGCTTCCAATTATCGACGCACTATGTTCTTCGACCTTCCCCTTTTTGTTTCCCCACAGGAATCCATGTTAGCGCTTGCCTTGTGATGCAGTTTTATGGTTTTCTCAACGTGTGTCCTATCCAAGACATGGACGTCCCATGATGTCTCCATATCCAATGTTGTCCATTACAACTTCAGTGTTTAGGTCTCCTAACAGGATGGTGAGATCCTTTCTTGGGCATTCCACTATGATCGATTGCAGCCTCGAGTAGAACTGATCTTCATCGTCGCCGTTGCTATCATTGGTGGGTGCGTAACATTGGATAACATTCATTGTGATTCCCTCCTTTGTTTTGAAGGATGCTTTGATGATCCTGGATCCGTGAGATTCCCATCCTATAAGTGCATTTCGTGCTTCTTTGAACAGCGTCAGGGCAACTCCCTGAGTGTGCAAAGCATTCTCCTCTTTGTGACCGAAGTACAGCAGCATTTCTCCCGTATCTAGCCTTTTCTGTTGAGCTTGGGTCCAATGGGTTTCGCTGACTCCGAGCACCATCAAGTCGTATCTCCTCATTTCCGTTGCTGTTTGACTAGTTCTCCCAGTCTCCCACGTTGTCTGGACATCCCATGTACCTATAAAAATTGTTGCTCTGGTTGTTAGAAGGGGCATCGGCCTCGTGGCTTCTGAAGAATCTCAGCTTGCACCATGAGGCGTCATAATTCTTCCTTCAACTCCCAGGGTAGAGTTTAAATTATTTATTCTGCTTAGAGTTTTTTAACAAGGCTTTTTTCTACGGGACGGGGTTGCCAACCCCCTCCTTTTCCCGGACTTGGGACCGGCAGTAGCGCTAGGAGAGCTACGGGCGGAGTTCGTGGCGTGCAATTGATTAATACACGCTGGATATCTTTGACCTTGATGTGGATCGATAAACTGGTAGATATTCAGTGATCTGACAACACCTTGGCAGATGTTCTAGGAATTTGTACATTCGGGCTTGTGAGCACCTACCCGTGTGGTTAAGCAAAGGTGTTGTCAAAACTGTTAACAGCTCCATCTTACACCATTTAGTCCAAACAGGACATACAGCCAACATGGAGCAATCTTTTGCAATAGTCTATCGTGTCAACAGCAGTCTACCTAATTCCGTCAGACTGCGAATCCTACAGACGGCTGAAGCAATTGCTATTTGGATCGAAAAGCCAGAGCTTTGTATCCAAAAGAAGTATGTTCAGCCACTCCTTTTACCCTGGTCAACTAGCTAATAATCAATCTTATAATGTGGTGACGTAATCTGATTAATGTTCATTTTATGTCCCAAACTTATTATTATTATTATTACTATTACTATTATTGTCTTTACATTTGATAACCCCTTTTTGAGGAATTTATTCAATATCCACCCCTGAATCTACTATATTTGACCTAATTATTTTACATACTACGCAATTTCCGATTTGTAATCACAATATTCTCTCTCTCTCTTTCTTACCCATGTTGACCATATTTATTCTGACAATTTATCTCACAACTTCATTTCGCTTATAAACTGGTTCAAGTTAACACTTCATATTAGTCAGCCCCAACATTGACGATTTTATTTTATATAACAAACAATTCCTGATTCATATATTACAATTTCCAAATGATGTATTTTGCCTTAAATCTAACCAATTTTATGGATTATTAATCTGGTTTTTCAAAAACTAATTTGATATGGCAAACTATTAACATTTCTGTTCATACAGATAATCTTTGAGTTTACAGTTCAATTAAATTGACCAACTTATCATTTAGGATTTCGTCTGTTGAATAAGATTTGTAATATTTAGTTGTAATTTACTTGAAAGAAGAATCTTACTTAGCTGGTTCGGGAATATGTGATTTGACAAACAAGATTTATAGAAGTGCAGTTTCACTCGTTCCAATTTAATTGTGCACTTGAGGTTAACTCGTTCATATAACCTTCTAATAACTTGTGTAGACTCTTTTCAGAAATTTAAAACAGTCCCTTTGGTAAATTTTGATAGTGCAACGAGAAGGCGAAAGTTATCATTGCGAAACATTTGGTTGAGACTGTTCATAAAGTTGATAACAAGTCAGCATTTGTAGTGTTGTACAAAAGCCTTCAGGGGTGTATACTAAGGTTTATTGAAGCCTTGGCTATGCGGAGACTGATAGTCCTTATGGTATTTCAGGAAAAGATTTGCGTGTTAAGTTTCAGATTACTTTGTTTTTTTGTTTGCTTGGGTTATATGGATTAGGACTACTTGGTTTGTTTCATTTTTATGCTCATATGTTTAGACGCTTTTTAATCTCAGCAGGTTTATCTTGGTTCTCCTCCCAACATTGAATACAAAACAGTTAGTATACTCTTATCTACTTATTCCAAATGTCTTATACAACGATTCCTGTTCTGCTTCACAACAACAGTACAAAATTTCGGATTGTGTAACCTACTTGATCATACAATAGAAAACTTAATGTGTTTGAAAATGTTAACAAATAATTGGTCATCATTATCTTCATAGCATCATGTGTATTTGCTTAAATTGTTAGTGTGAATACTATGAATTAGGTTCAACGTTGTTTTCTGACAAAGATTAAACATTTAGAAAGCACTTATTGCGAGTTTGGTGTTATTCTATTGCCAGCCAGTGTGAAAATTCGCTACATATTTCATGAAAAATCTCATAGCAGTTTATCACTCAGTGATCAAGGAAAGTAGCGCTGAAAGTGAATATTATATACGTCTTTTAATCAACCAACATGATCGTTTCGAATCTTTGGTGTTGTAAGTTACAATTGTCGTCAAATTCATAATTTTACTTTGCATTATATTTTTTCTCCTTCCCCAATTAGCTTCTACAAATCCATTCACTGTTGGTTCGAAATCTGTAACTGGTGCAGCTTGTAATCCATTTATACCTAATCAGTCATTGAAACCATCACTGAATCAATTGGCACCAGCACCGGCACCTCTGTCAGGTCCAATTTATCATAACACAATGAATAATCCAATGTTCTATCAAGTTCGACCATATTATCCTGCTAGTGGTTCGGTCGCAACAGTACAACCCAATTATATGGTGCCGATCAATACTGCAAGTGCATGGTCCGTTATTGATGGCTCTGGAAATAATATGATGCATCAACAACAGACAAGTAGTTTAAATCCATTTTATTAAAGATGATAATCATGATTATGCAACTGTGACTGTTATTTCCATTGTAGTATCGCATCACCACTGGAACTACTACTACTTTTGTTTGTGTTCAAATACTGGTTGCTTATTCCTTCATTGTCTCTTTCGGGTTGATTTTTTAAGAAAAGAAAACAGTTATTGATCTCTATTGCCTTCATTTTTCTTTTAAAATGCTAACCCCAAAGTATCATTGTCGTTTGACAGTTGTGCTGTTCTGTACAACATATACAGTACCAATTCTTATTGCACTCAATCTTTCTACACTTATTAGCTTTGATTTTCTTCGCCTTTCTCCCTTCTAAAGACAATCGATTCATAGCGTTTACTACATATTCTTTGTCTTGTCAAGAATTAAGCTATCAGGGATCTCTCAACTCTTCCTATTTGCAGTGTGTGATTATTGGCTACCATCAACATTTAAATCTTGCGTATTTAGGATCACTGTGCTTATGCAAAGTTTTTTATGTGTTTTATTCCGTTTTTTCTTCTGAAAACGATTACACTGCTGATGTCGTTACTATTTTGAGCCTATTACAACACCTACTACTATCAGTGTTATCAAGTTATTATGAAATAAATTATTCTCCTTATCTTTTCTTGTGAAAAAGAATAGTTCTGCTCCCATTGAGATACATTTTGCCGACACAGCCCCCTCCTTGATATCAGTATAACACGCTTACATATATTAAAAAAGAAACATAATTCATTTAGTGATAGTAATGTACATCGTATTTTTTCGGAAAGAGTAAGTTCATTCAAAGACAAGTAATTCTACGAATGTTACTGAACCACCAGTTGAATGTTAAATAAAATTGTGAAATGCCATTCAATTACCAATATATATATATATATATATATATATATATATATATATATATATATATAGCAGTTCGCTCTATGTTTATTTGTACTATTATTTCCTCTACTGATATTTTCACTTGAATTCTCATTCTTGTTTCTGCGTTCTTTTTCTAAATCACAATAAATGACTGGTTCAAAATGTTAATTATTTGTGTCACAACAACAACTACTACTAATATTGATAATCATGTATTGATTTATTGACTGATCAATAATTTCATCTGATTTTTTTATTATCATTGTTTACATCCTTACTAATCCTTTTACAATTAAACGCAGTCAAACTATTTTCTGTTTGACTGTACACATTGTGTGGGAAAAATACTTGTACTTTATTTCTTTATCGATCAACAGTGATTTGCTTGTTATTACCTACCATATATATTTGTGATTACGGATGCAATTATACCTGTTCCATGCATACCTACATGTTACTACTGATGTTTAATAATAATGATAATCGTTCGATTGTTAACTAGTTTGTGCAAACATTTAATTCTAAAACTAATATCTATTAGGTACTAATAGCCAACGGCTAACTTTATGGAGGTATAGTGAGACGACTCAAAAATTATGGATCACTAAGGTGCCAAGTCTAATATTTTCTGTCCAGCTTGGGTCCAATGGGTCTCACTTATTCCGAAAACCTCCACGTGGTATCCTCATTTCCACGGTTACTCGACTGGTCCTCCAAGTCTCCTACATTTTCTGAACATACTATGTACCTATATTAATTGTTGATCAGGTTACCAGAAGAATCATTGGTCTCCTGACTTCCGAAGGATCTAGGCATTCACCGTAAGGCGTTATAATTCTTCTAAATGAAGATCCTCCAATTCCCAAAGGAGGGTTTAGATGGATTCGTTTTGTTTACTACGAGATGAGGTTGCTGACCGTATGTACAACCCTCTATCCAGGCTTGAAACGGGCAGTAACCCTAGAAAGGTGATCTACTAAAATTCTTAAAAAGCCTTATAAGATAAGAAGGTTGAACAGGATTTTCTTGATCATGCATATTTCAAGCTTTTCTGTACGATTAGTGACAGTTTTCGGACTGCTGAAACTATGAGAACTAACTTTTTGGTCGGTTTGTACTCGAATACTTCGAAGTATGACTGTTTTGACTAGTCCGATATATAATCGAATTACTTCTGGAGCCACCAATGTCGCATCTTAACCAGACAGAATATTGTTCGTGGAATCATAAATTAGTTCAAAAATGGTTTACAATCACGACGAGATTAAAAATTTTGTCATAAGACAATTGTCTGATAAATACACTTTTGGTAAGCATACTAAATAAATAATCACGAGATAAATAATTCACTCCCATCATCTTCATTTTCAAATACGCAGATGAATGTATTCTGTACAATAATACCACTTATTATCGACAGGTTTTCATTTTCAATGAAATAGTTTCTTACCACAAAATACTACTTAATTATTTTGCAAATTGATTCAGTTCACCTGTCACTTTTCATTTTATGCCATTTACCTTATTAGCATAATTAAGCACAAAAATAAACTCTAAAGAGGAAGAATGTATTTGTAAAATCTCAGAGAAAGAATTTGAATTTGGAATTACTTCAGATTCTTTCTCTGAGATTTTACAAATACCTTCTTTCTCTTTAATGTCTCACACTAACTCGGCGCCCAAATACTGTGAAATTATTCGATCAAATTTAGACGAAAGTTCTTAGAAATAAACTCTGTTCTCAACATAAATACGATGACAAAAAAAGAGAGAAATGTAGGCTTTCGTCAGTAATTTCAGATGTCCGTAGTTTTTTAGCGACCGAAGTAATAAAAAAGGTATTGGTCAACATGTAATTCTATGCATATTGTATGAATTGGATCTTCATCTTCAACCGAAGTAACTTTGAAGCGGCTCCGTTATTCATGTTCAATGATATCATGGTGTTATCGGATAGTTTGATAAGACATTAGAATTACTGAACTGGCCAAAATGATAGTTTTACTGATGTGGAAGATCCTCGACTCAAAACCACGAACGATAATATACAATCTCATAGTTAACTAATCAATTGGCGGAAACTAAGAATACAAACTTGAATAAGCTAACTTAATACTCTTAAGATCAAGCAGTAGTAGCGATTACACGCGTAGTAAATGTATACTATTGATAAAATCTGAACTGCGACGAAGATGTCTGATGTTCAGAATTTTGAAGTGGTACTCAACTGTGAGATTATTACAATTTATAGTACCTAGCATTATCAAGTATCCTTAGTCGTACTGCTTATTCATGGAAATACAAACCTCCGTAATTCCTACTCCATAGAATGTGTACAGGAGACTGGTTCAAATAAAGATTAGTTGCTTCTGGAAAAAGGGCGTACGTTACAGGTCACCAATTGATGTTAGTGAACTTTAAGTGCTATCATGGTATTCATAGAAATCGTCATAAATAAGCAATAGCGTTACTTCACTCACAGACTTAAGTTTTTATAGTCTAATTGTTTGTTAAAACCTTTTCTATGGTAAATTACTGGACCATATGGTGGAATAATAGCATTATCAGAGAGATGAATTTATAGTAAATCAAAAATGGGATGTAGTTTACGTGAAAATCTAAAGATTGGAACTTTATCACTCCCACTAACCAAATTTACTATCAATTTGCTATCTGAAACACTACTTCAGTGTTGATCCAATACTCAGGATAATTACGAAATTGACGGATGATATGGAGTTGTAGGATCAGTGAAATGCCTCTGAGCGCTACCTGATTCACTGAATATCTACCAGTTTATCGATCCACATCAAGGTCAAAGATATCCAGCGTGTATTAATCAATTGCACGCCACGAACTCCGCCCGTAGCTCTCCTAGCGCTACTGCCGGTCCCAAGTCCGGGAAAAGGAGGGGGTTGGCAACCCCGTCCCGTAGAAAAAAGCCTTGTTAAAAAACTCTAAGCAGAATAAATAATTTAAACTCTACCCTGGGAGTTGAAGGAAGAATTATGACGCCTCATGGTGCAAGCTGAGATTCTTCAGAAGCCACGAGGCCGATGCCCCTTCTAACAACCAGAGCAACAATTTTTATAGGTACATGGGATGTCCAGACAACGTGGGAGACTGGGAGAACTAGTCAAACAGCAACGGAAATGAGGAGATACGACTTGATGGTGCTCGGAGTCAGCGAAACCCATTGGACCCAAGCTCAACAGAAAAGGCTAGATACGGGAGAAATGCTGCTGTACTTCGGTCACAAAGAGGAGAATGCTTTGCACACTCAGGGAGTTGCCCTGACGCTGTTCAAAGAAGCACGAAATGCACTTATAGGATGGGAATCTCACGGATCCAGGATCATCAAAGCATCCTTCAAAACAAAGGAGGGAATCACAATGAATGTTATCCAATGTTACGCACCCACCAATGATAGCAACGGCGACGATGAAGATCAGTTCTACTCGAGGCTGCAATCGATCATAGTGGAATGCCCAAGAAAGGATCTCACCATCCTGTTAGGAGACCTAAACACTGAAGTTGTAATGGATAACATTGGATATGAAGATATCATGGGACGACGTGGACTATGAGAAATGAACGTCAATGGGGAGAGATTTGCAAACCGATATGCATTCAACATATTGGTTGTGCACAGACCAAATCGCGATACTATGGATAATGGTCGCACAATCAATTGAATGGAACTCGTCACTATAAATCAACTTGCTTGATTGTGAGAAAGCATTTGACAGTGTGGATAGGAGAACATTTCGGAAACTTCTTCGACATTATAGAATACCTGAGAAAATTGTCACCATCATTCGGAATTCATACGACGGACTACAGTGCAAACTCGTGCATGGAGGACAGCTGACAGACGCATTCCAAGTGATGACCGGTACCAGATAAGGCGTCAGAAATGGATAGGACACACATTGAGAAAACCATCTGACTGCATCACGAGGCAAGTGCTAACATGGATTCCTGTAGGGAAACGAAAAGGGGAAGGTCGAAGAACATAGTGCGCCGATAATTGGAAGCAGACACAAGAAGAATGAATAGCGACTTGAAAGGACTACTCGAAACAGGGTTGAATGTAGCGTGCTGTCGGGTGGCCTATCCTTCTCCATCAGGGCTGAAAGATGTAACTAAACGCTCACGCAACAGTGATCGGTTTATGTTCTTGTACCTATTCTTACTAACACATTTGTATCATTCTGAATTAGTTATACTGGAGTTAGATATCTTGCTTCTTGGACAAGGATTATCAGTGCGTAAGTGTCTACACACTGATATACAGAAGATAATTTATCACGATCTAGATCTTGGCTTTGACACGATAGACTGACTGATTTAACCTTGAGGCTAGAAACAAGTGAGTTCGAAAACTAACTAACTGACTTGGGTAAAAAGTCGAGGACCATTCTATCACTTAATTGGCTGACAGGCACGCTCGAGAGACAGAATGGGTCAACTGGGTCACTACTCCATTTATTACCGGTTCAAAGTAGTGTAAAAAGTTATATAAATAAATAGATGACCAACATGACCACAACGGACAAACAACTAGTAAAACACAATATGCTCAGAACTGGGGATTAGGTTCGAAATATAGATTACTAAAGGTTACTTTTAAATTACGATATCTTTGTAACAGAAAAGGATGTGGCATTCAATCATACATCAGATGGAAGCTTGTGGTTTGTAGAATGAACTATGAAGAAAACTGAATGTCAGTATCTTAAAAGCTTTGAAATACCGTCCTCGGAAAAAGACCCGTTGTTTGCCGTTGGATGATCGTTTACCGCCAAACTAATTGCACGATTCTTAGAAGACAAGTGTCAACACGCAGTCACTTTATTCACCTTATAGAAATAGTCAAAGAAGTAAACAATGACAGGTTTAAGGTCAGCAAAAACCAGTGAACATCGGGGTCTACAGGACAAGCTGTGAACCGTATGTGGAGAAATTCGAACACTTCACTTCTCCCTGAAGTTTGTGCTTATGATGTCGTCCAGAAGAACGATGAAAGCTCCACGACCAAACCGTCCACCTCAGAGAACAAATGTCCATCAAAATAGTCTTATCTACCCAGAATTTGTAATAACGAACGCGATAGATAAGCATTGCTTAGTTGCGTTATCAATGATATCGTATATTGAAATTTAGAAACAAATACAAATAGTTTTTTGCGGATAATTTATGTCTTCATATTATTTGCTATAGTGATTACGTTTTTTCTCTGTTCATCAAGTAGAAGTAGTACTTGCACTGAATGTTCTAAAAACAAGAAAAGAAACATTGGTCTTCTTCATAACGAACGTAACAACATTACAGCCAAAGTGTTTATACAAGACAAACAAATACCCTATGTCCTGGCAATTATCGAACCTCTGAATCAGTAATTCAATCTTAAACATGTATTACATACGAATGAAAGCGTAAAAATGTTTGCTAAATTAGAAAGTTAGTTATGTCTGTGATCATTTGAGGAGCCAGCTGAAAATAAGATAGATAGG